AGTGGTTCCACATGAACACAGGAAGCTGCCTTCTACTGAATTAGACCTTTGGTCCATCAAGGTCAGTATTGTCTACTCAGACCGGCAGCAGCTCTCCAGGGTCGAGGAAGAGGCAAGCAGAACCTGAACAGTTCCCTTCCCCCCTAGAAAGCGTGGGAATGTTTTGTACCTCACATCTTCATCTTTAAAAATTCCTTTCCAACTGGAAGGCCCATCCATCCCTTTAAGAGTTTTACTGGTTTCCCTGGTTGTAGATTTTCCCCATTGCTGTTGCTTCTCTCATAGTCAAACCTGCACAGCCTGAATGTTCCCTTTCCATGCAGTGCAAGAGCCTCTGCTTCGCATGGAGAAGGTCCCAGGTTCAAACCCCAGCATCTCAAATTAAAAGGATCAGATAGTAGGTGGCGTGAAAGACCTCCGCCTGAGACCCTGGAGAGCTGCTGCCAGTCTGAGTGGACGATCCTGACCTTGATGGGTTGTTCCTCTGATTCAGTATTACGCAGCATCATGTGACCTTCTAACGCCCCGGACAAATCCCAGTTTCTCGAGGAAGAGGCAAGCAGAACCTGAACCCCCTAGAAAGCGTGGGAATGTTTTGTACCTCACATCTTCATCTTTAAAAATTCCTTTCCAACTGGAAGGATTCGTCTTCCTAACTATCTCCTGCTTTGTGGGAATGGGGTCGCATGGATCCCCTCTAGCAATAGAATCTCTCTTTTTCGCGTGGTCTGCAAAGGCTGGAAGAGGGCCTCCTGGCACCTGGGATCAGCCTTTAATTGCCCTGACAATCATCTTCTTTTACCAAGAGAGCATCCCAAGAGTATCTGACATTCAGGTTGTTGTAATTATGCTGCTGAGTTAACATTCTGGCTTTGCGCAGGCAGCTCATGTCTTCGGACTGTCTGGGGCTTTTGTGTCAAAGTAAAGATGCAGCTCTGACGTGCTGAGGAATGAGAAGCCCGCGCTTAGAAGGGTTTGATGCTTGCAGAGCTCTCAAGGGTGAGGACGATGTTGATTCACACTATCATTTATGCCGCGTCTGGCGAGATCACATTGTGGAGCAGGTCTTGCACATAGTGATACATCCGGAGTGTGTTTGTCTGGAGTATTTCTACTGTGTGCATGCAGCGCTCCATTCAACCTTATAGCTTTCTCCAGTACATCCTGGCAGCAGTTTGGGGGCCCAGGCCGAGTGGATTTTCAATCACATGTATCAAAATTGGTGACGATGTTGTTCTCCCTCCCCCTCTTTCCCCGATTTGTTAATCTACAGTTTCGGACACCAAAACATTTTTGTAAGTCCTTTGTTAGGAAGCAGCACGCACAAATCCTCACAATATGTAATACAAATATTCGCAAGAGTATTCTGTGCAATTGTTGTAAGTTGTTGTTGTTGTTGAGTCGCACAGTCGAGTCCGACCCCATGGACCACATCCCTCCAGGCCCTCCTGTTGTAAGCCGTTGACATAGATCAGTGCACGGTTCACTCTTGGGTTACTGTTCGCCTCCATCATTTCCCCTTCCGTAAAGCGGCCCGTTAAAAATCTTTGCCTGCCGTCTCCTTTGTGCACTGGTTATCCCAGCAGCCCACCTGCCCTTCTGAATAGACCTTACCCGTGACCATTTTATTCCTCTCTGAGCCATGTCAGGCTCTGGATCCGTAGGCTGCAGGCCCCCGATCTCCGCCATTCTTCTTTCATTGCAAATGCCCTGGTTATTCTTCAGCCTTTAGTTGAAGGATGCCAGCGTCTTCAGCATGTAGAGACAGTGGCTGAGCTGACTTGTGCTCTGGGAGGTGGAAGGAAAGGGCAGCGCCCTCGATGGGAGAACAGTTGCTCTGCTCCACGCCTGTTCCACAGTCCTCCATATCACCAGCTGAAGGATTTCTGGTATCAAAAGTGAGGAAGGACCAGCAACCTTGCCCAGGCTGTTTTGGTGGCTCTGACCTGGACTGTTGGGATGAGTGACAAGCGCAGAAGCTACAAGAACAGAGGAAGATGGGAAGGGCAAAGGCTTCGGGCTAGGAGGTCATGTGGTAATAAACAGGAGGTCACCTGGTAATGAAACGGAACCTGCACGTTCCAGGCTACAGTTTGGGAGGGCTGCATGCTTCAGTGTTCCCTGTGGTGAATCCTGGTGGTGCAGGAGGACGAAAGCCTCTCAACACAGAAAACCTGGTTGTCCTGAAAACAGCTAAGCTAGAATCCTTTCTGCTGACTTCTGGTTTTTAAAAAAATGAGCAGAATTCTGGTCAGGGAGACTCCCCCACTTCCAGTATGATGTGATCTGCCGTTTCTGTAGACCAGCCTTGATATTCTGGGGGTGATATGGAAAGGGGCTTTTATTTTTCTCCTATCGAGACAAATTGGGGTGGAAAAAACTCAGGTGAGAGAAACGGAAAGGTTTTTAACTGCTTCAGAAGAGCACTAACGAAGTCCAGCCATATTTTTTTGCACCACACTCTCTCTTTTTTTAAAAAAAAAAGAAATTGCAAACGGGTTGAATTCTGGCCGAAGCGGGCGAGTGCTTCAAAGTCGTCGGCAGGAGTCAGAGACGATGTGCTCTGTGGTGACCCCTGCACTTTGCCATAAGTGAAGGGTGGTACCCGTAGCGCACCAAGGGAAAGTCTAAACATGTCACTTCCCGGTACGTTTACATGCTCCTGGAACTAAACTGTCATGTTAAATCTCCCTGTGAGATTTTGAAATGCAGGGGCCCCCCCCCCTCCTCTTTTTTTGGTTGAATGTCTTAGGTTAAACTTGGAGCGAGAACCGTATGCGGCCGTATCCTGTGTGGGGTGGCGCTTCTGCTCCGCTAATGAAATATAAAACAGCTTGACAGCTGTTAAATTTGTGTCATGCCCAGGCTGGAAAAATGGGTAATGTCAGTCTGTTTGTTTCTGTCTCCCCCCACCCCACTCCTTTACTGTAACAGATGTGGTAATGGAGGTTGCATCTATTATTCACTTTTAAACAATGAATTTCCAGTTAAGATGGTAAAAAGCTCTCATACGCAAGCCTAAGAGCCCTGCCAATTATTTAAAGTAACTAAAACTAATTTTTATTCAGCTCACCTCTTTACCACCCCAGCAGAAGCATTAAAGCACTGACAAATGCCAGAGCAACACCTTGATCGCTTTCTGCGTCTTCCGACAGCCGTTCAGATAAATGAAGCAAAGCTGCACATTCTAAGGGTGTTTAAAAAAAAAAAAGGTTGTGCCTTAAACTGTGGTGTGCAGCGAGGAGGATGGGAAGGTACCACTGGGGTGTGTCCTACTAGCATTTGGCCACTGACCTAAAGGTGAGCAGTTTTTTGCACTGAGGTGAAAAACTGCTTGAGCTCAGGGGACCTTTATTATCGGACTTTTAGGCAGTCTGATTTGGGGCTGTGCTGGAATTAGTCAGTTTTACACCCAGGGGCGAGCTGCCTGATCTACGTTCCATTTCCCTGTGTGTTAAGAACCATTGTGGATTGTTAAGAGGAGGAGTACTGAAGTTCCAGGAGCTGTGGTGGCTCAAGTGGTTAAGACGCTGAACTGCAGGCTGTGGAAGGTCAGTAGTTCAGCAGTTCGAGACCTGGGTGCCGCATGATGGAGTGAGCTCCCATCTCTAGTTCCAGCTCCTGCCAACCTAGCAGTTCGAAAGCAAGAAATTGCAAGTAGATAAATAGGGACCACTTCGGTGGGAAGGTAACAGCGTTCCGTGCACCTTGGTGTTTAGTCATGCCGGCCACATGACCACGGAAATGTCTTCGGATAGCGCTGGCTCTTCGGCTTTGAAACGGAGATGAGCACCGCAACCCTAGAGTCGGATTCGACTGGCTATCGAGCAAGGGAACCTTTACCTTTACTTTTTACTGAACTTCCAAGTTCTCATTGTCCAAATAGACAGCTTCCACTCAGAAGTTGTTATGCAAAAGGAAAAACAAACGAAACACCTTACGGTTTCCCCGCTGTGTAGTCATGAGCAACTGGCCAATGAGACGTCTGGTTTTCTCCTCCCACACAAGCAATATTGATTGGTTGAATGTAATTCAAGCCAAGGGCCCCTGAGAAGCTGTAGTGGTGCCGGGCACAGGTAAGCTGGGACCTGAAGCTTCAGCCGCCATCTTGAAAATATGCTAAAGTATTCCATAAGGAAAACTGAAACGTATAATAAGTTGAAAGTTATTAATATAATGTCGAAGTGTGTAGTGATGTTTGACACTGATTTTTGCACCCCATTCCAGTTGTACCCGGTATAAATGCTACATCATCCTATCCAGGTTACAGTGCTGGCTTTGGAGCCTGTGCAAATCAGTTTCTGCACTGCACACCCCATGCACTGATAATGGGTAATGGAACCAACTACCCAAGGAGACTCCAAAATGAATCTGTCCCAGGCATCCTTCTGTGAGTGTGTAATGTGCCATCAAGTCATGGGCGACTTCATGGCGGCCCTGTAGGGGTTTCAAGGCAAGAGACTAACAGAGGAGGTTTGCCACTGCCCTGCCTTGGAATTCCTTGGTGGACTCCCTTCCAAATACTAACCAGGGCACCTCCCGATATTTGCTTGAATTATCATCGTTCTGATTAATCTCACACAGCAAACTATTTGTGACTTGTAGCCAGTATCTTTGTCAGTGTTTTGCCTGGTGCTGAATACAAATATAAGTTCATTGTGATCAAAAAAATCACACAAACTGGTGTAATAGAGCCAGTTTGGTATAATACTTAAAACCATGGACTTTAATCTGGGTGAACCAGGTTTGATTCCCCACTCAACATGCAGCTGCTGGCGTGACCTTGGGTCAGTCACAAGTTCTCTCAAGAGCAGTTCTCTCAGAGCTCTATCAGCCTCACAGGGTGTCTGTTGTGGGGAGAGGAGGGGAGATTGTAAGCCGCTCTGAAACTCCAAGTGAAGGGTGGGGTATAAATCCAGTCTCTTATCTTCTTCTTCTCCTCCTCCTCCTCCTCTCTGTGGAAATGACTTGATTTTTTCCCCCCTCTGTGGTCTTTGTAGGCTGGAGCTTCACAGGTCATCTTTACGAATCCCCTGGAGATCGTCAAGATTCGGTTGCAAGTAGCTGGAGAAATCACCACAGGGCCCAGGGTTAGCGCCCTCACTGTTCTGAAGGACTTGGGGATCTTTGGTCTGTATAAGGTATGTTTCTACTTTACAGCACGTGCACACGCCTCTGCTAATCTGTTTTGTGTTACATTTACAAGCGAGGTTGTTGAAACAAACAAAAAAAACTTCAATTTTTTTTGTTGGGGGGGGCTGAGGAACCTGTTCAATTTTGAAAACAATCTCTTCCTGCAGAGTAGCTGCACAAGTCAGAAATGGAGAAACTCCCACGTTTCCCGCAGTGGCAGCGGGATGCATGAAATCGCTCTCTTGCTTTCTTCCCTCAGGCTTTTATAACAAGCTGCAGGGATGCCAATGCTGCTGGGTCCTTTCATTAACTGGGAGTTGGGGGAGAGACCCCCCCCTCCCCGCCTTCCTCTTGCATTTGTTTAGAAGACCCAACTTGTCTTGTGTTTTATTCCGCATCTCCCATTATCTCTATTGTTATGTTCATCGCAGGCTGCTTTCTCTCTCTCAATAATTTGATGACTGGGAAACAGTAGTAGTCACATGAAACTGCCTTATACTGAATCAGACCCTTGGTCCGCCCAAGTCAGTATTGTCTATTCAGACTGCCAGAGGGTCTCCAGGGTCTCAGGCAGACGTCTTTCACATCACCTACTGCCAGATCTTTTAACTGGAGATGCCAGGGATTGAACCTGGGACCTTCTGCACACCATACAGAGGCTCTCCCACTGAGCCACAGTTTAGTGAGATTTGGATCTTTAAGTAGGTGAGCAATGAGATTTGTTGATAATGAATTCAGTTAAAAAAACAAACAGACCTGTATGGTGCTGTACTTTAATAGAATGTTAGTCCACAGGTTCTTTCTTTGCATGAATTTGCTTTCCATGATTAAGTGATTGATTTTCTTAAAACCAAGAAGAGCGCCCTGACCTGGATAGCCCAGGCAAACCTTATTTTGTCAGATCTCGGAAACTAAGCAGGACTGACCCTGGCAAGTACTTGGAAGGGAGACCTTCAAAGGAATACCAGGGCCAGGACACAGAGGCAGGCAATCAAGCCACCTCTCTGGAAAACATCCTAGCCCCACTAGGGGTCGCCAGAAGTCACCATGCCTTCCAGACTTGCAAGGACACACACACACACACACACGGAAAATACCCAAACAAAAGCAAAAAGCCCCCAAGAGAGCATTTCCTCCCACAAGGGGCTTATATGTACCTTCAGCATATGTACAGACAGCATATTGGTTTAGGACCCTGAGACAACACTTGGAGTGGTGGTTTCAGCTGGAAGTCTGGTGGTGCAGAATCCTGCTGCTGTGGGCAAAATGAGAAGAGTCCCGCGGCATCTTGAAGAGTAACATCAGTGCCTGGACAATTAACTCTTAAGTTGTAGAGGGCTTGAACTCACTTTGCCAGATGCACGAAATGAATTCTTGGTCAACAGAGAGAAATCGGGGGGGGGGGAGCAGAATTATGGGTTAAAAGGCCTGCTCTGTGGTATTCTTGTGCCAAAATCTAAACTCATAACAGCTATAACTGGGAATGATAACACAAGCTCATTAGTTAGGTAAGGAACAAAGCACAAAAACCACTGCCTAAAGATAACCAATATATGAAATGTGTAATAATAATTCAATAATGCAAAAATATAATTATATAACAATATTGGCCAAGGTGTAACCAAGATACAGAAGGAAGAAGAATAATGGAAAGAAGAACTAAGTCCCAAGTATTTTACTGTGTCTCACTCCAGTAGGGTTGTAATATCAAAGTCCAATTTGATGTGCAATTCATCATAGAGTGGACATTTCAGAAGTTCCATAAGCCATAAAAAGCCAGATGCGTAGTCCTTCTTGACTGATTATACTGGCTTTGTATGTGCCTTCTACTGAGATTGGGTCCCCTTATAGCCTATTGTTTTTGAATAAGAACAACTCAAAACGCGGCAGCCGGACTACGCGTCATGGGACTTTATTCTTCTTTTCATTATTATTCTTCCTTCTGTATCTTGGTTACACCTTGGCCAATATTGTTATATAATTATATTTTTGCATTATTGAATTATTATTACACATTTCATATATTGGTTATCTTTAGTCAGTGGTTTTTGTGCTTTGTTCCTATTCCTTGAACACTGGCTCCCCTTCTTTTTTGGTGGCATTAGTTAGGTAAAGCAATTTTAACATTTGCAGAAGCTGAGCAAATAGTCAGATCTGCTGTGTTCTTTGCTCAATACCATCAAGCCTAGAGATGGATTCAAAGTCAGCCATTTCCCATTGGAGGGTCTTCCTCTTGAAGTTTGGCTGCTGAAGAACACTGACTTCCAGGTTTGCAGTAGTGTGTCCTGGAAGACTGAAACACTCTCCCACCCGTTTTTCAATGTTGCCACTGTCCGGCGTCAAAGTCGTGCCCACCTGTCCTTTGGCACCGTAACATAGCAGCTTCTGTTTTCTGTGAGCCACAGAAGGGCACTGCTGACTTTCCCCCTTCTTTTCCCTCCCCCTTTCCCGGCAGTACTTAATAGTCATGCACACCTTGCATAGGATGAGGAAGTGGTAAATGAGCCCCTGACGGTACAGCTGGCATGGCGAGGTGGTGTGATTAGTGCTGCCCGGGTGGAGATGGGGACAGCGTTGGGCTTGAGGCAGGAGCTGGTTGCTGCCCCCCAGGCCTTCAATTAGGTGGTGCATTTGGTGCCAATGAGGCAACTGGTCAAGATTCGGAGGTTGTTGATAGACAGATGAAGCTACCCCCACTGAAACTATGACAGCATTTTCCCAAAAGCATTTTAGTGGCCAAAGCAAGATTTCAGCACAACTTTTTTTTGGGTGGGACCTCAAATTAGAAGCAGGCGATAGCAGACCATCTCTGACCCTCTCTTGCCTTGAAAACCCTGTGGGGGTTGCCATAAGTGAGCTATGACTTGAAGGCCCTTTCCACCACCAACACCATGCCACAAATTACAGGAACTAAAGAAAGAAGAATAAGCCCCGCTGCGGTCTTAAAACAGGCTGGTTTAAGTTGATAAAAGGGCATCTCAAGCCAACCTGAATGCATTGGGGAAAGTGCTGATTACAAACTTCCCTTTCTCAAGCCCCCCCCCCCCATTCTAGTCTTCCACTGACTCCCTGTTTGATTTCCCTCCACCTATCTGAGAGTCAGCTGCAACCCCCCCAAAAAAACCTTGTATTGAAATACATCTTGTTAGTCTTTAAGGTGCTGCTGTAAAGCATTTGACCATGGAGACTGGAAACCCTCCTCCTCCCAAAAGCCTCAGCACAAAGTCATCCATAATTGTGTCTTTTAGACACACCCACCCACCCATACCCCTCGCTGCACAAGCAGTGCCAGCAAATTAAACATAGGAAATTAGTATCAGGTCTCTTTGAAAGGAGTGGAGAGATTAAGCAAAAGTGCCCTGGTTATCTGTTCTCAATCAGTACCTCAGGACCAGGGGATGAGGAAGGCTACTGTGGCTGTCCACCTGGTCCCACAACCAGTGCTCCCTCTAAGCTGAGTTAGTGTGAGCTAGCTCACAGTTTTTTAGCCTCTGGCTCATAGATTTTTGTCTTAGCTCAGGACGGATGGCTCCAGAGCAAACTGATTTATGCAGTAGCCAAATTGCTCACTCACAACTTTAATGCCAGTAGCTCACAAGGTAGAATTTTTGCTCACAGGATTCCATAGCTTAGAGGGAACACGACTTGATCTTGGATTACAGTTGGTGCTTCTATCCTGCCTTATTTTGCTCCGACCAAGTATAGGAGATGATGGTATTGGGGTGGGTTCAACAGCCACTCCAGCGGAGATGCATTACCCCCCCCCCCAGCAGATGCTCTGGTGTGTGTGTAAGAGCCAGAGCGAGGGTAAAAACAAGATTTCACATGTGCTCTTGGGATCTCCGGCTGTACTGGGAAAGACCCCAAGCCTCTGCTGTACGGCCTTGTATGAAGATCCACCTTGAGTTTCTCCCGTGTAGGTGACTTTCCTTGCCTTGTATGTTCTTTTGCAGGGTGCCAAAGCGTGTTTCCTCCGAGACATTCCCTTTTCGGCAATCTATTTCCCTGTTTATGCTCATTGCAAACTGCTGCTTGCGGATGAAAACGGCCACGTGGGGGGGCTTAATCTCCTTACAGCTGGTGCTATTGCAGGTAACTTTTTTAAAAAGAGTAATTTGCTAAAAGACTCCCCCCCCATCCCCCCTCCCTCGGCAGTAGTTAATATTCATCAGACTCATGTATAGGAAGCTTAATATACTATTGTATCTAACTTAATCTAAATTTGATCACTTTTATCCATGGTGGGAGGTAGTGTAATTTTGATGAGAGCTAATTACATTTGCATAATGTGGATAAACAGCTTAATGCCGCTCAGCAACTTGTAGTCAAATTTGGCTCTTGGCCTCCGTAGGGAGAGTGAGGCTGTTTTAAAGCCCTCCAAGTTGGAGGTAGCTTTACATCTGAAGGAAACACACTGAGGAAGGCAAATATCTAGTCTGATTCCCCCCCCCTTCAGTTGTGAAGAAAGTCACGATCTTGGAGGAGTACGGATTGAAAGAAGCATTTAGGAGATTAAGATGCGAGTTATTAATGTTGGAGAGCTTAGTTTGTTTTGGCGGTCACTTGTACATGCCCTTAAAAAAAAAAACCACTTTAAATGCTTCTGTCATGATCCTAGGCCTATAGTAGTGCGGCTTACAGGCTCTAGGGAGGCCTAGTGGCTCCAGGGGAGCCTGTATTAGAGTGACTACAAGGCCCACATTTCCCAGGTCACCCTTGGGACCCTGTGATTGGCTAACAGGGGATGCGGAGGGAAAACGTACCACAGCAGAGGAGTAGAGGGTGGTGCCTGGGAAGAAGGAATAAAAGGCCTTGCCCAAAGTGGGAGGGGGTTCATTCCCCGGGAGCAGAGCTGGTGTGAGGCTACTGCAGAAGGAGGGGTCCCTCACCCAAAAGGGGTGAGTCAGCTTGAGGCCAAATACCTAGAGAAGGCTAGGGGGGGGCAGTATAGTCAGACATGTTAGGGTTTCTTATTTTGCTGGTTGCCTACCTTTACTGTGCTCATTTTTCCTATGTTATTGAACTATAGTTGTCAGTAGTTCAGCAGTTCGAGACCCAAGTTGCCGCATGACGGAGTGAGCTCCCGTCTCTAGTCCCACCTCCTGCCAACCTAGCAGTTTGAAAGCAAGACATTGCAAGTAGATAAATAGGTACCACTTCAGTGGGAAGGTAACAGCATTCCGTGCACCTTGGTGTTTAGTCATGCTGGCCACATGACCATGGAAATGTCTTCGGACAGTGCTGGCTCTTCGGCTTTGAAACGGAGATGAGCACCGCAACCCTAGAGTCGGATTCGACTGGCTTTCGAGCAAGGGAACCTTTACCTTTTAATAAAAATGAAGGAATAAACTGCCTGGGCCCTCACACCTCATTCGGTCACTTATAAGGGGAAACCCACTGGAAAAGGAGTGTATCAAGGGGTAGGGGGTGGGGTGCTCTGGGCCCTCCCGAGGAGACCCGTACCAGAGTGGGGGCAGCCATTAGCGAACCTTTATAGCCACTGCCTGCGACAGCTTCATTACAGTAAACAGAAATCGAATTCGAGGCATTATCGTTCCGTGCATGTGTGTCCCACCAGCTGGTTTTTACCGATTCACTCAATTCCTTCCTCATTACAGCCCCCCCCCCTTCCACCGAGCTTTTGTCCATCCTGGTCCCATGATTTCCAGCATAGCTTGCTTTTGGTGGTCCAAGGAGACCCTTCCCCTCGTTCCTTCACCAGTGGAAAAGCTGGTTGGATCCAGTCCCAAACATGCCCGGGGCCCTCACTGAAGACAAGTTGTTTATAGCCCATGTCGGATCAGAAGTACACATAGCAGAGAGCAGGCTTTTCAGTGCCTCAGAACTTTTCTCCAGGCCCGAGGCTGAAAGGAAGAGAGGGGAAAGCGGCTTTTAAGCAGATGTTTTTCAAGCCTCCTCGTGCTGGCATATGGTAGGTTGTTCTAGGGTTGCCAACCTCCAGGTGGGGTCCGGGGATGTCCCAGAAGTACAACGGATCTCCAGACAACAGAGATTAGTTCCCTTGGAGAAAACGGAGCTTTGGAGGGTGGACTCCATGGCATGATGCCCCACTGCGGCCCCTCCCCAGGCTCCACCCCCCCAAATTTCCCAGCCTGGAGCTGGCAGCCCTGTTTCTGACAGGCTGTGGGCTTGCAGCAACCTGAAGACCTGAATTTTCTTTGCCTGTCAGAAAATCCACCACAAGAAGGCCTTCCCATCATAATTTGGGAAAAAATCTGTGTCCCATCCCCCCCCCCTCGCCTTTTTATTTTATTTTGTAACATCCAGCCCGAAGAAGAGTTCTGGTGAACTCTAAAGCCTGCACGCTGGGCTGTGTCATTGGGTAGGTCCTAATTGAAGGTATTCCATGGATGGCGTGTTTGGCTTTTACCCAAGCCTTGGCTGGCTCTCAGCCAAGCCAGTTGCCGCCCCCCGCCCCCCCCCAGCGGTGCACAGTGCAGAGCATCCCGGCCATTGCTGATAAATGAGGCCCTCTCCTGCCTCGCCAGTAGTTAGCTCCGAGTTCACCCTCTCCACCTCCGTGGTGCGCACGATGCCCATGGCTGTTTGCTGAAAGGTAAGAATTGCGCTGTTAAGTACACGAGGGTTGCTGTTCGGTGAGCAGCACTGGCTGGGAGCCATGTATTTACACCCTCGGTTGCCGAAGGTGTGTGAGTGACAGCCAGGCCTGAGAGACAAGAGCTGATTCTGCATTGGCTTTTCCCTCTGTTGTTTTACGAAACCCACCTTGGAACAGAAATTCCCTTCTGCATTGCATGCTGCTTTCACTCTCTTTGACCACTGGATTTTATGGTAGCCTCCACACTCCGTGCCGCTTTCAAGTTCTTTTTTTAATGGTACCTTCTGCATAGATTTATGGCCATTTTATGGCCGTTCAGGGGTGACTTTGCAGTCAGTATGGCGTTGCCCTGAGGTATATGAATGTGGATTTGAACTGCACTCCCCCCCCCCCAGTTGAGAAAATGTGGAGCAAATGCTAGATGCAGAATTGCAAAGCGGCCCTAATGTTTTTGCAGCACTCTGGAGCCCCGTTTCACCCAAACAATGCTCACAACAAATGTAACAGCCGGTGTTAGGACCACAAAATGTTGCACAGCTGGTTAGTAAGCCTGTGGGTTTCCTATAGCCTGCTGCCATACTGCAAAACATATCTTTAGCACAGCTGTTCAAATGATGATTCTGAGCCATTTGTATGAACTGAATTTCTTGAGCTCTTATGAAAGATCATGTAGAGTTCGCTCCCCCCTTTATCTAGGTTTGTTATATACAGGATCCTCTCCCAAATATTTAATTGTTCCACGATATAGAAGAGTGTTTATGTTAGCCAGATTAAACGTGATACCTTCTCAGGTAATGGATGGTTGCTATAAGAAGAAGCTTTCTTACTCAAATAAATTATGTTGGTGTCAGTCAAGGCGAGTTGACACTTTGGAGCATTGTCTCTTCAAATGTATGTTTTACTCGTATATTTGCTCTCCCTTGAAGAAGCGGCAAAATCCATAATTCTCTTATATCTATGTTGGAGAGAAACTGAGAGTGTTCCTTGCGGGCACTGAACACATAGCCTCTTTGGCTGTTGCAAAGTTCTTTTCCCAAGCGATAGCAGGATGTAATAATATGAGTAAATAAATGAGTCCAAGTCTGGAGTCAGGTTATTAGGATTTTTAAAAATGTTATTAGTGTGTTACTGCTCAAGGGCATCGGGTCGAATGAGTAGTTTCATTTAAGATAAGATATCTTTAGTATAAAAGGTGAAGCTGCAGAGAAGGAGAAAGCTTTTTTTTTTTTTAGGTGAACTGCTTACTCTTCAGAAGCTTAATGGTTACAGCGATGTTTTTGCCTTTCTGGGATGTTTGTCCTCAACTTAAACCATTCATTTCACTCAAAAGGTGTGCCTGCGGCTTCGTTGGTGACCCCTGCTGATGTCATCAAGACAAGACTGCAAGTGGCCGCCCGTGCGGGTCAGACCACTTACAGCGGTGTGATCGACTGTTTTGGGAAGATTCTTAGAGAAGAAGGCCCCACGGCTTTTTGGAAGGGAGCTGGAGGTAAAGAAAGGGATACCAAGTACAGTGTGTGTGTGGGGAGGGAGAAAACTACCTTGTGTGCATTATTTTGAGTAAGCCACATGAACATAGAGGACCAAGTATTGTACCTGTGTGTGCCATTTTAGTTAGCCTCTTGCGATAAATGGTTTTGTTCATTTTATTCAACAGCGCGAGTGTTCCGATCTTCCCCCCAGTTTGGCGTCACTCTGTTGACCTATGAACTTCTGCAGCGATGGTTCTACGTTGATTTTGGAGGAATGTAAGTGCAGTTCATCCCCTGAGTCTTTAGATTTCCATTCCCCGAGACATGGGGTATAAATGTGTTACAGCAGGCTGAAGTCTATTAAGGTTTAAAGAAAGCAAGGTTGCTTTAAGTCGATGTTCGCATTCTTGCTGCGAAAATGTAGCAAACCTGCCAGGTGTGTCCTTGTACTGACTCGTGTTGCTAAACAGAAAAGCATTAGAGGACTGCAACAGGGCGGTATTATTTATGCGTTTAGTAGCCTGGCTTTAAGTAGCAGCCACGTGTGTGGTATTGTGGCACAGCATCCGCTACGGGCCGTGTTCACTCTTGAGTTAACAGGCACAGGAAGACTTGGCTTCAGATAGTGAAACGGAAATCAAGGCTCCTTAAAAACACTAGCCAACTTTATCGGAGCATAAACTTTTGTGAGTCAGCTCATTTGTTCATATATGTGGATGATTAGTGGATTATTTAAAAAATCACAGAAAGGGGGGGGGAGAGGCATGGTAGTTGAAAGAGACTGGTTGTGAATCCTATTGTAAAATCACTCAGGATAGCTAGAAATCTGTGCTTTTTGCTTTTCTCCACTTTACATTCAAGCATCAGGAACTAAAAAGTTCACAGATCCAGGGGGTCAGCCGTGTTGGTCTGAAGCAGTAGAACTGGGCTTTTAATTTGTTCTACAAAGTTCATATTTAACTGCCAGTTACTCCCCAAATGTATTATAAAATGTTAGTTTTCATGTTTCTAAGCTTGTGTCTGAAGTACTGAAGAAATACTAAATAGGGCAACTTTCACATCATGATCCAAATATATATGAGTAATTCTAGAGATACTAAATTACTGTGGGCCAGATGTGAGTCTGCTCCTGTACACAAGGATGCTTCCAGGACCAGAGTCAAATAAACCTCCCAACTATCCTCCTAACCGGGTTCTGGCTGGAGCAGATCTAAATGTACATCTTTAATGGGTAACTAACTGGTGGGGCCAGCTCTGATCAGCTGACCTGGAACATGGATTCATTTCCACCCCATCCAAACAGGTAATCAGTACTATTGAAGCTAAAGATGCTACAGGTGCTCTGTTCAGGTGAAGTATGCCCAGAGATTCTTACATGCGGCAGATTAATTCTCTGCAACTCTTACTCCATATGGACTACCAAGGCTGCCTCCGTCAACCATAATATATAATGAAACCATTAGTGTTAATCACCTTTGAAACAATGCACTTTCAATGCATTTGGCAACAGTTTGCAACTGGATTTCCCTGTTTCATACAAGAACATCCAGTTGCAAATGATTCCTTGAAGTGCATTATCCAACGTGTGTGAAAGCAGCTAATAAAGACAGATAAAATCTAGGAAAGCTAGCTAGCTCTGAAAAGCCACGAAGCCGCCATGTAATAATGTAGCAAGGGGCAAATGCATTTAGAAGCTGCAGTCCATCAGAGCTATTCTCTGTGATCCCCCAGTGCTGCCGGTGGCACCTAAAGTTTTCCATTTTCTACTTGCCTCCAACCAGCAAACCTTCCGGTTCAGAACCTACACCCAAGTCTCGGATCTCGGGCCTTCCTCCTGTTAACCCCGATCACATAGGCGGCTATCGACTTGCTACGGCGACTTTCGCTGGTATAGAGAACAAGTTTGGTCTCTCTCTTCCAAAGTTTCGATCGGCCGGTGTCGCCTCAGCACAACCCAAAGCAGCAGCTGAATCCTGAGCTGACCTTTCGAGCCAAACCCAAACGGTGCAATGGACGTACATAGGTAGTACTTTTTTTTCTTCACCTCCTCCGGTCAGCTGCATGATACTCTGGCTGGACAGAGAGTTCGGCACCGAATCACTCCTTTCTATACGAAACGTGGCTAATCATTTGCACACAGGAGATTGATTCAAGCTTTTAAGTTCTATGCATAGAGCTTTTGCCCTCTGCCCAGTGGCATGAATTAGTAACCGAGGCTTGGCTTTGCACAGCTTTTTTTTTTTTTTTTGCACTCCGTGTTACTGTACATATTGTACATCTTTGTACAGAGACATCATCGTGGCATTGAGATGCAGTGGCATTTGTAGAAACAGGTGTTGCAGTTCTAAATGGTTTGAAATGTACAGAATGTTTTGAAAGTGTTTTATTAAAAATCATGTGGAAATAAAATTTATTTAAAACCACAGTGCAGTAGCCTCGTTTCCTTGGCTTTCTGCCTGATGGGCAGCAGTCTTTTAAACAGGAGGCTGATGTTCCTTTTGGCATCCACTATTGGCATGAAGAGGCATGAAAACTGTGAGATATCAAGAAAACCTGTGCCAACTAGACAGTCCTTTTCCTACAGTAGTACGATCACACCACTAGAAATTTATTGTATTTATTTAAAACATTTATCTGCCAATTTCCCACCCAAATAAGAGTCCCCAAGGTGGCAAACACCAAGGCATTATAATATTTAAAACAGCACTTAAAATGTGTATATATAAATATTTAATAATACAATAAAAACACAGACACACACATGCAAAAAACCAGGGAAGAGGGCCAATAAATGACCGGGGGGGGGGGGTTACACTGAATAAAACAAGAAAGTCTTTGAGTGATGCCCGCAGCCCGCTAGTTACTCTGAAAATGTCTAGTGCCATACCCAATTTAAAAAATCTGTATATGTGCAACGCGGTCTCAGTGTTCTTAAACTTTCTGAACCTTATGCAGTTGTGCATGCCAGTGCTCCAAAATTTAATCCAATTTGAAAAGAACAGCTCAATATATATCAAACCAAGGATTACCAAAATGGATGCAGGAGACTACAAGTATGGTTTAAGACAGTCACTTGTACCTAGCTTGGGGGAGGGGAGCGCGCATGGATTCAACCCTTGTTCAAGACACTGGAGTTGTTTGTTTCCACTGTGTGTGCATTTCCAACGTATTAAATATAAAACCAAACCATAGGAATAACATAGACAAGCCCAGCTTGTTTTATTTTTGTGTTTATCACTGTGGTTTCAGGACTAAAAATAAAACACAGCGTCTGACTTTGATTTAGACCTGTCCCTCAGGACAGCCCAAAACTGCCTATCACTGCAAATGCATCAATATAAAGGAGATTAACTGTTTAAGGAACAATGGAAAAGAAGCAGTTGAAAATATTACAAATTAAGACAATGTAAAAGACTCACATTATAAAATGCACATTATAAAATGCAACAACAAAACTAATCAAGAAATAATTTGAGGTGCAGAAATTGTTAGATGTATAGTAATATTGAATTGTATTGTACTGAAACACCTTTTAAGTAATGTCAAGAAACGGCTGTAACCTTTGCTCTTCATGCTGTTCCTTGACTTGCTTTTTTGTTGTTTTATAATTGTCATTTTTGGCTGTCTCCATGTGTAATATTTCCACCTCTAGCAATGATTGCTTTCTTTTGTTGTTGCAGAAAATGGAACTTTTAAAAAAATATAATTTTATTTACAAATATGCAGATACAGAATGGATACATGACATTAAAACCTAAAATGTTCAGTACCCTTTCCCTGTTTTCATTTCTAGCAGTTTGAGTAACAGGAAATCAATACCCCCCTTAACATTATACAGTTACTCCCTCTCTAAATGGCCCACATACTTCTTGCATGTAGGGAATGTTTTTTAACAACATTGCCCAGCATGGATTATTCTTCACTTCAACGATTCCCTCCCCAAAATGGTAGGTAAACAAACCAGCGGAAGAGGAGCCATGTTGAATCAGAGTGATTTAGGAGCTACCATCTTTCTGGATCTTTCCAGCTCTCTCTGTTCTACAGTCTTTTGTATCACTGATTCGTATGATTCATGTTAAAAGTATCTTACCTGTTAAAATCCTTGAGTATAAAGTATTGATGATATATATCTTCAGAAAATAAAATATAGCTAATTTATATACACTATTTGGTATTAGCTACTGAACAGATGGAACTGCCTTAGACCAAATCAGACCGTTGGTCATCAATGCCAGTATCGTCTGGCAGCAGCTCTCCAAGGTCTCAGTCAGAGGAGTTCTACAACATCTATTAACTGAAGACAGGGAGGCCAGCCTCCTGTCAGATTCCACAGCCAACAACTGAGTACATGCTTATCAGAAAGGTTATACTTTATTGCAGAGCAATAGATGCAGTAACAAAGTCACTGTTAAGAATGGTGTCGCCCCTACAAGCATAATGAGATATAGGGTATTCGTATGCAGCCCCCCCCCTCCTTAGGCCAATTAGCCACATTCCCCCGCAAGGGGAGAAGGAGCCCCAGGCCGTTAGAACCAAAGCTGAGAACCGAAAGCGCTCCCACAGTTCTCTGAATCCCAGACACTACACGCCACCTGCAAGGCCACAGATAAGTGTTACAGAAGCAAAGAAGGAATGCAGCGGTACTTGGTACACAGGGCAAGCAAGCATCCTACCCCCAACCATTATGGCAGCATAACTGACACCTCCAGGTGGAACCTGGGGATCCCCTAGCATTACAGCTCTTCTCCAGACTACAGAGATCAGTTCCCCTGGAGAAAATGGATGCTCTGGAGGGTGGAGACGATATGGCCTTATACCCCACCGAGGTTCCTGTCCTCCCCAGGCTCCATCCCCAAATCTCCAGGGGTTTCCCAACTTGGATCTGGCAACCCTACCCCTCTATCCCCGGCCAGGGCAGCCCTGGCAATCCTGGGGATTGAACCTGGGACCAATTGCATGCCAAGCAGATGCTCTACAACTGATCCAAGATTCCCTCCCTCTCTAAAATTGCATCGTTGGGTGGACAGATTCCCTAAAGTGGGAGCAGGAATCTGACACTCAGGAAAATCACCAGAATATTTGTTACTAGAGTCATTCATTTGCAAGGGACTTGATAGACCTTTCCCCCCACCGTGCAACCCTGGCCCACTGCAAAGAGGCAGCCGTGTTGGTGTCTTGTCGCAAAGTAAAGCCAAAGGCCAGTGGCAAGATGAACATTTATGTCTAGAAGAAATGAGCTGAGTGACTCATGAACACCCGTACAGAACTAAATGTTAAAGGTGCCACTGGCCTTTTGTTTTATTCAACCCTTGACCAATCAGGTTGGAGGGGATTGGGCCTATCACCTGGAGATTCCCTATCCACCGCTGGAAAATGCACTGAAGACTGGAACCTGTGTTTAGTCACTGCTTAAATCAGAACCACAGCTTGAAGTGGGTTTGCACACCATAGATTTGAGGGAACCTGGTTGGAACTGATAATACTTTTAATATGAAATTATGGTGACCAAGAGGAAGGGGGGGGGAATTGTACTAAAGAGGAAAGGAGTGAAGGCAAGTGAGAACCTCTGGTGGGTCTCTTACCCATGGTTGAGAGAGCAGCAGCGTTACTAGGACCATGCCAGCCAGCTTAACAGACTACGTAGCTTATTGTTATATCAAGGGAAGGGAATACAAAAGCTCCAGGCAGTTGTGGGGCAGGTGGTTTGGAAATAAAGGCTCTTACAATCACTCCCAGAATAAGTGGGTGTCCTGGAGAGGGGAATAGGCTAGCTGCCAAAATAAACCAAAAGGAGAGAGTTGCAGGGGATATTTCACTAGCTGCCAAAATAAACCAAAAGGAGAGTTGCAGAATAAACCAAAAGGAGAGGATCTTGAAAGTGAGCTGTAAGATAATGGGGCTGTTTGTGACGAAAGCTCTTTGATAAAGTACATTTTTCCTGGTTTCCACCATCTAGCCTCAATAGGAGCCAGGGGTGGTGGTGAGAGAGAGAGAGAGAGGCTGAATGTAACGCAAGCCAAGTGAGCATCCTGCTCAGTATCAATCTTTATGTGATAGACAAAGAAGCATGAGCAAGTGACATCGGAACTGAATCTGCAGCCGCTCTCAGAGGCAGAAACACACGATGCTGCTTTGTGCTGAATCAAGCCATCGGTCCATCAGTGCCAGTATTTTATTTATTATTTATTTATTTACATGTGATTTATATACCGCCCATGACCCCTAGTGGGTCTCAGAGCCGTTCACAGAGTACTACAACAGCGTAGTTGATGCCTATCTAGGGCCACAATGCAGTGAGAATCTGCAGCCGCTCTCAGAGGCAGAAATGCTGCCTTGTGCTGGTGCTGAATCAAGCCATCGGTCCATCAATGCCAGCATTGCCTACTCAGAGTGGCAGCAGCAGCGCTCCGAGGTCACAGGGCCTTCCTATCACCCTACCCGGGATGACACCTGGGACCTTCTGCGTGCCAAGCAGATACTCCACCACTGACCCACGGCCCCTCCCTCCCATACAGATACAATTTAAAAAAACGAAACAATGACCAAATGGCAATTAGAAAACCATAAACCAAGTCCAGGTTTACAGAACAGCACTCGAATGTTCGAAAAGAAACCGCAGGCACTCAAGGAGAAATGGAAATTAAAAATCGGAGTGCAAAAACACGCTGAGTGAGGAAGGAAGTGTTGGAAGCAGTCCCTAGGGCGAGGAAGAGGAACAGGAGCACATTTGAAAAGTCAGAATGAACTCAGTGAATTTTTTAAAATGAATTTTAAGTGGGGGACAAAAAGAGGCCAAGGGGGTGCTTCATATACTGCCATTCTCCTCTCAAAGGGAGTAAGAAGGAAAGCAAGGGCTCTGTTTAAAGACAAATAGCAAGACGCTAATACTAGGCCAACAGAGTATGGAAAAATTAGCCTGCAAAAACATTAAGGCTTCTAAACCGTATTCATGTATCTCTACTGCCCAACAATTAAAAAGATACAACTGTGGGCTCAGAGTACAGTGAAGCTGAAGTAGTCATCCTCTAAACATACCACGAGAAGAGGAGGAAGGAGATACCTATGAACAGTCTAAGCCCCACCCACCCCCAGGCAAAACTGCCTTATAGCCAAAGGAGGGTGGGGTTGGGAACACAAGGAAAAGGCTATGATGACAAGAATAGTTCCCTTCCGGTTAGGACAGGGACTTTACTACCAGTCCAAAGCAGACTGACCAAGGAGAGTGAACACACAGTATGGGAGTGCAAGTACGTGAAAAGAGAAGTTAGAAAATTATACAGACATTTTGTACAGCTTATCGAGTGTAGCTGGAGAACATGACACACCTTCATGCACTCAAAAGAAAGCACTTCAGAGTGCCAAACAGTATCATTTTTGACACAGGCAATTTGCTATGCATGTCAATACTGCTAAGCCTAACGTTTCAGGCAGGAGATACAACAATCATTCTACTAAACACTGTCACAATGGAAAGCTCACTATTCTCTTAACAGGGTGCTGAAGATTTTTTTTAAAAATCACACAATTTATTAGATGTTATTGACTGCTATACTGATACGCTTTCTTTATCGGTGGGATTCAGTTTTTACAACTCCAACTGGATGCAGAACAGACTGTTCTCAAATAATTAAAAAAGCAGCACATTATTACCTACATCTCAAAATTACAGGGTTGGATCCAGCGATCCATCATGGGAGAGTGCTGGCGAATGCAGATTTGGGGTGTGCTCCCCTCCCCACAGAGCTCCCTCTGACCCCCGGAAGGCTGATTCCTGGGATCCCAGGAACCGCATATGGTCTCATAGGCCCGTGTGGGTGTGGAGAGGGGGTGCTGCAGGGGACAGGGATGGAGGTGAAATCTCCCGCCCCCCCTTCATCAATTGAGCTGTGTGCCTAGGAAAGGGAACATGTGAAGCTGATTTATACAGAGTCACACGGTGGGTTTAGCAAGGTCAATATTGTCTGCTCTGGGCAGCAGCCTATCTCCAATGTCTCTGGCAGAGGTTTTATAGATCACCTACCACCTGGTCCTTTCAAATGGATTGGAGCTGGGGCCTCCTGCTTGCCAAGCAGAGGCTGTACCACTGGGTGGTGGGCCTTCAGTGCAGCTCCCTGACCCATGTGGCGATTAGAGTCTGGGGTCCCATGACCACAGAAATCAAGGGTCAGGAATTAGAAGGGACTGCATGAAGTCAGGGGGAACAAAGGAAAGATCTGCATGTCAGCGCCTTCCGTTGATGGATCACTGGATCCCACCACCCGTCTGCACAAGTCTATGGGCAATTATATAGTTTGGATACATTAGGATCAGCTAAATCACAAAAGCAGCAAGCAGAAAATTCTAAAATCAAGTACTGCTATGCAATATGCTAATTTAGGAAATGAATCCAGATTCAGGAATATAAAGACATACCACAGAAGCATTACATTTAGAGAAAATATATACAACGAAAGAGAAAGGCGGCTCAAAAGGACTTCAGAACAACACACGATTCAGGTAAATTAACTCAACTTTTGGTTGTTGTCGAAAAGATTTGAGATCAATCGTCCCATTGCTTGCATTAATTTACGCACACGATTCAGGTAAATTAACTCAACTTTCGGTTGTTGTCGAAAAGTTTTGAGATCAATCGTCCCATTGATTGCATTGATTTACACTGTGTAATCTGCCTAGAGTCTTAGTGGGAAAGGTGGAGTATAAACAGCACAAATAATTTACTGGATCCCCCAAAATGTAATTTGGGTGCCGGCCTAGTGTAGGGGGTCCGGGGGCTGGAGTAGGATCTGGGAGGCCCAGGCTCAAGACCCCCACTCTGGCCATGAAGCTCCCTGGGTGGCCTTGGGCCAATCCCTCCACCTCAGCGGAACAGCGTTGCAAAGATCAACAGAGGATGGGAGAACCATGTACACCGCCTTGAGCTCCTTGGAGGAAGGGCAGGATAAAAATGTCCTAGATAAAAAGTGACTGTGGGGTAGGGGGTGGGAAAGATGGACTGGAACTGCGGCACTCAGTGAGTCATTCATTTGTGGAGTTTGCTGCAAGCAGACAGAGCGATGGCCATGAGCACAGACAGATTTCATACAGCACAGGTCCATTCGTGGCTATATTAGCCATGGTGAGTGAGGGGAACCTCTACATTCAGAGGCAGGAAGCCTCTAAAACCCAGTGCTAGGAGGCAACACTAGGGGAGGGGCTTAGCCTCATTTGTTGGTCCTCCCACGTCAACCTCACTAGATGGACCACTAGGCTCTTCTTGAGTTCTTACTGTGGAAGTAGGCATTACGACTCTGTCCCTGCTCCACTTCTCTTATGAAACATGCCTTCCAGTTGCTTAAACCTAAATAGGGAGAAAATGCAGACAAAATACTGGCATCTGCCTAATTTCTTTAGGCGGGGGAGGGGATTATTCAAATTGAGTAATAACCGCCCTCCCCCAGCATTGTGGCCCTTATTCATATTGTCTCCCGATGACTGGTTCTTGCAGCTATATTACTGCCCTTGATGATTAAGAGCACATGTAGTCAGGGTTATGCACACATAATTCCCACTAAAATTACCTGAGGGATACAGTACAGACTAAAGGCAGCAGCAAGTCCAGCCCCTATACACCCCGCAACATGGTTCCTCACCTGTATCAATGACCGGCAACAACAGCTCTTGGACAAAAAAAAAACGAGACTTGAAGGCCAGTCCTCGTGAGAAAAGGTCATGTAATGTTTATTTATAAAGAATTCTTACCTATACGGCACAGATTTAACAAAAAAAATTCCAAAGTACTTAGCAGGTGTTGTAGAAAGTTTCTGTCGCTAAATAATTTTAAAAAGTTGTACATATTTTTATTCACATACATGACCTACCACCGTAGCCTGGAGCCTATTGTGGAATAATCAGGATAAAGGTTACTGTGAACAGATGCATGCATAACTCAAGCAGTTTGAGTAATATAACCCTGACATATTTTCAGAGATCGATGTTCATTGCACAGCCCATCAGTTTAACTGAGGACGGCTCTTGTTTAGAAACGTACATAAATTAATTTTTCAGAAACAGTTGTATGCGGCTGAAAATTGGGACAGCCCAAGTAACTTTAAATAAAGAATGCTGTTAGTGTTTCAGTAGAACTGTTCCTTGCCAGGTTAAGATTAAGTAATAAATTACACCAGGCAGATTAAGACTGAATGCTTTTGCTAGTAAAAAGCAACTCAGCAAGATCTGCTTCAGCGATCTTTACACAAGTGTGTCAAATCCGCCATTTGCCATTTGCCATCTTCACTTTCAGCTGCAGGCTACTGTATGTGACTACTCTGAAACCCTGTCCAACCCACTCCCCAATTCACTACTGGATCCTATCTAGGAAGGAATTCGAGTTGCTGCCTCCTCTTCTGCGTCAGCTCTGTTGGCATTAATTTCCGCTAACGTTCGGCCAAAACGTGTCCATTCATCATTTCGCGGAACAGCAATTTGCTGCAAAGAAACACAGTTACAGAGGATTGTTAGAAAGCATAAGCATATTAAGCTATAACCTCACTGGGTCACGTGTTGTGAAAGAGTCAACATGATGGGACTGGGTGCGAGAAACACAGATTCAAATCTCAAAGCCAACAAATGAGTCATTGGCCTTGGGCAAGTCAGTCTCACTCTAACCCAAATTTACCCTGAGCTCTGAAATACCTTGAAGGAAACAGTATTGTCATAATTGAGGCTAGTTCACTTTCCTTGTCGAGTGAGTTCTGCGTCATCTCACGTTAAGATGTAAGCAGAAGGAAATGCGAGGAGACATGGGCACATGCTTGCACCAAGGCCACCAGGCACCTCACGATTTATGTGTATAGTGATGAAACAGTCTATTTTTTTTTTATTCGATTTCTATCCCGCCCTCCCAAAGGCTCATGGCGGCTCACATGCGGCAAAGCCGAGATATAAAATACAATAAAACATATAATAAAGTACAACATTTAAACCACAGCCTATTTTCAAGATCTCCCACTATCTGGATCTCAACATAAACGGATAACACAGGAAAGCCTCCCAATCCTAAAAACTAAACTTTCGAAATAGCAAGGAACAAAAACAGAAGAGCAAAAGCCACAAAAATATAATGAGAAATAACCCACTCAAGTAGGAATTGTCCTATACATTTCAAACAGAGTTCTTTGTAGGGGACACCTACTTGTTCACCCTTTTCCAAAAGATGACTGGCTTTGGCCACTATTACCCTGGGATCCACCCTAAAGAGGTTGGGCAACTGGGGGTCCTGGGTCAGTCTAGTCTCCTGGTTACTGCCGTTAGTCCCTCACCAACTGCCGACCTTAGAAAAAGTAGTGGTGTGAATGAGCAGCATCGGTGTCAGTGGGCTGTGGCTGCAGACCAGCTGGGAAATGGGCCCTGGGGCTTTACACATTCCTTTGTTGAGTGGATCATCCAATAAAACTAGAGGCTGACCAGGGTGCTCACCACTACACTGAAACTGCGTTCATGTTAATAAATGGCTCTCTTAGAATGCCAAAGGTGCTGTTATCTGGATGCACAGTTATGTATTCCTAAGCTGTAAAAAGCGGGTCTGAAAATACGCCTTTTATCTGAATGAAATAAAATAATTCAGAGCATACTGCATATGGCTGTAATTTCAAAAGGAAGTTACCTACCTCTCCCACATCATAAATCACTATTTGTCCATCAGAATCTCCAACGGCAATTTCACGACCTGAATTGGTCCATCTTACACGATTAAGAGCAGGATTCCCTTCCACAGTGATACTTGCTGTTGGCACCTGTATCAGTTTTAAAACAAACATTATAGTGGCACCGGGAGTTCTACCACCTTTGACGTCCCCAGATTTTAAAACATTGCACGGACAACATTGGTCAGCTGTCTAAAATAACATATGGTGGGAAAATATTCAACAATTTAAGAATTTGAAATTTCTGTGATACACCGAGTATGAGATGTAGGATGATAATGATAGGAATTAGAGCTCCAAGTCTTCAAGGATGACAGCCCCAGTTACATTTCTTCTTCCCTTAGACAAAATCTTGTCTGTGTATATTTAACTTGAAATACATTGGCAGAAATTACTTTATTATAGGTACCCCACATACATCACCCATACATCACAGATTGGGACTGAATGACGTTCTGCACAAAAGGGAGTATGAAGCACATCAAATGTGCAGTTGTCTATAAAACTTGGTAACAGTGCTGCTTCTGGGTTCTGCTTCGTGCCCAGTGCACTGCTGCTGATCTATTGCTGTGTAGGAGCAGATTCAAGTGCAGGTTCATGAAGCAGCAGTCCAATATTGCAAATGTCTACTTTGGGTGGTGTGATGAGCTATTGGTTGTCAAGAGACTGGGGTGGCGGGTAAAAGCTACAGGAAGCTGAACTTGTCCGATTCTGGGGCCAGGGTAAAGGAACTCAAGCATGAAGAGAGAAGGAAGCGGCACACCAATTTAAGTGAGGAGGGTATATGATGCCATTCTTTTTTCGTGCCCTTTAGACAGACCTCTGACCTCCCTGTACAAACAGGGGCCAGCTGCTCTCGGGGGCTTAATTTGAGAGCAAAAGACTTTCCACACACCAGTTTCAGATTTGCTCTTTTCCATCAACTGAGTGCTGAGGTAGGGAACATATACCAAACTTGCACTCCTTTAAGGAACTAATGCACAAAATCTTTAGAGATGGCTATTTTTGTATGTATCTATATGTCTCTATTTATACATCTAAATCGCTGTCCGTTTAAAACATTTCTATGCTGACTTTCCACTCAGTTCAGGGTCCCCAAGGCGAAGTCACTTTCGCTAGCTTTGGAACACTGAACATAACCCGGCCTTACCTCGGTATCGTTGTTGAGATTCCACAGGTCCAGCCTGCCCATTCCATCCACGCAAGCAAAGAGGGCAGGGTGGGTGGGGGACCACATCACATCGTAAACGTAGTCTGAGTTATCTTCAAATGAGTACAGGGGCTTGTTATTCTGAAAAACAAAGGGGAGGGGAAAACATTTATAGATCATACTTTTCACAGTCCTCAAAGTTTTAACTGGGTAAATTTAGAGTATAAAAACCATACGTTGTGCTTTAATATCCATCACTGACACACTCCTTGTAATTCTAAACACAGCGACACAAAAAGTGTTTCAGAGGGTAGCTGTGTCGGTCTGCAACAGAACAGCCAGATTTGAGTCCAGGAGCGTCACAGGGATCAACAAGACTTTTGCGTTAGGAGATTTTGATTTTGAGAAGCAAAAGTTCCCTTTGTCAGATACCTGAACCTTGTCGGTCTTTAAGGTGCTACTGGGCTGGAATCTAACAGAAGACGTGGTGGCACTGTTTGTTCCTAACATTATGCAAGGTTTCCCGCTCTAGTGCTACTGGGCTGGAATCTAACAGAAGATGTGGCACTGTTTGTTCCTGACATTATGCAAGGTTTCCCGCTCAAGCAAAAAGAGCACCCTCCCCAACCAAGATATCCTGACGGTAACGAAAGTATGCTCAGTTGAAGGCTTCCTTGATTTCACTGCCGTACATAACATCTGGGAAGCAACATGGCTCACAAATCATAAGTGCAAATAAAACTTAAAAAAAAAAATCCCTGAAAGGTGTGCCATGAGGGAGGGCAACAGTTGGACACTAGAACACCCAGGCATTGGAAATCACAGAACAGCAAACTTCTGTCATGCGCTTAGAGGTTGAGAGGACCTTAACTAACAAATATGTCAACGTTCAAGCCTTATTTCTAACATAAGCGTACTTGACTAATTAATAATCTTTAGGTTTCCTCAATAACTGTGCTTACAAAATTGTGAAGACCTGACGATTTTTAATATTTTTTTAAATTTTATCTTCATATATTTGGAAACAAGGAGAAACGTAGCAAACACGGAGTGTAAAAACATTTTTTTTTAAATCAGAAGGTCCAAAGGTACCCTTTCCATGAACATATGGAGTCCTTCAGTGGATTCAACCCAATGTATTTGATGATGCCCAAAATGACAATGTGCCAGAAAGCATATGAGCCCTGTAGAACCTGCGTGGGTGCTTATAAGAGACAGTGTGGAGATTCACAGTCTCATAACATTCTCAGCCCATTTGTGAAAAGGATAAGGGGAAAGGCTGAAATGTTTAATGTTCACATGTTACATTTAGACATAACTGCACTGCTGCATTTCAAAGATGTGTCACAGAGGTGATGCCAAAAAGTACAAAGTTATGGACAAAAATTTGTATCAAGGAACTGGATTTAATATTTACATAAGTTGGCTTTCATGATGTAGCTTTTCAGACAAACTGACACACCCACTGCCCCAATTTGGTTAAAAAACAAACAGACCCCGACCCATTTAGATACCTTAGTCGTCCAAAGTTTTACAGTCCAGTCAAAAGAAGAAGTGACAAAAAGGTGAGAGAAATCCACAGGTCCCACCGCAGCGTGGCAGTTGATGCC